CAGATGTAATTTCATATTGGGGAAAAGGTGTCTTTGGTTAGAAGTTCGTTTCTGGGCAGCATAACCACATGCAGTTAATTACTTGCTTTAAAATAATATTAGTGCTTTAAAAGTGTTGAGTGCACTTAACAGAGGTAATCCTTGTTTTTACAGCATTCCTCTAAGGTAAGTCAACATTATCTTACACATTGCAGATAGGAGCCAAGCACTGTCTACTTCAGCTCCCTAAGGCCACTAAGGAGTCTTGGCAGAGACGATGATTGAAACCAGTACCTCTTGATCCATGGCTGTGTCTTAGGCCAGAAGTGGTGTGTGTGGTGCTGCAGGGCCAAGATCCCAGTACCGGCATCCCTGTTGTTTTACCTGGATGGGAATGTGGCAAGGCAGTTTTACCAGTGAGCTGCTGGTCTTCACACACAGCCTCCACTCCGTCCCAGCACCATCCAGGTAAAAAGTAGCAATGCTAAGTTAGCAGGGCGGCTCTGCCCCACCACATGCTGGTGTGGTGTAAAGCAAAACATTGGTACTTGCCATGATAAGTTCTTTCTCTGTAGAGGGAGGAAAGGATCCTGTGTGGGTTGTCACCGCCCACCTCTCCACTGGCAGAAAGTCAAATTTTTGAGGGGTTACACCTGGTGGGCAGGGCACCCCCCCAGTCAATTCAACTTCCTGCTAGCTCCACTGAAGGTCGCTCTTGCCAGGAGCTCCAAGCACTGCAAAAGAGAGAAGGTGGGAACACCATTTTGAAAGGCATTTTCTTTGATCTTTTGTTTGCTTTGTTCCTGGATCATCTTTCTACTCCCGCCTCCTCTTCTGCCTGCGCTTCTTTTTCACTCACTCCTAGCACCATCAATCTCTCCTCTTCTTCCTTCAGGTATCCCCTTTTCTTTGGCCTTTCAGGCCTACAGCCCTTGGAGGCTCTGGACCTTCCATGGTGGGAGAAAGTTTCAGAAAGGGGTGAAAAGCGACGGAAGGGGTTTTTGCCCAGGAGGAGAGCTGCTTAGGAGGATGGAGCTCTCTGTGGACTCATCAGAAGAGTCGTTGGGATCCCGGGCAGGGCAGACAATGGACATCGTAGCCTGGACCAAGGGCTCTGCCTCAACACCTTTGGCAGACAAGTAGCAGCCTTGGGCTCAGTGTTTAGGTCAGCAGGAGCTTCTCGTGAGTTCCTTCTCCTTGGTCAAATGCTTCTTGGCAGTGCTGCTAAAACTGCCCTGGGATCTTTGGATGAAGGATGGTATACTGCTGCTACTACTCCTCCTACTACTAAAGTGCACAGGTTCCCCACCTAGGACCTCCATATGGTACTGAAGGTGCTCACTGGTCTCCTCCACCCCTTTGAGCAGCTGCAGATGGTACCTCTGAAGTTCCTGAGCTGGAAGGATCTCTTCCTAGCGGCTATCACCTCAGCCCGGCAGGTATCGGAGATTGCAGCCCTTTCTGTCCACAAGGAGTTGCCGTATTTTTTGCTCTATAAGACGCACTAGACCACAAGACGCACCTAGTTTTTGGAGGAGGAAAACAAGAAAAAAAATATTCTGAATCTCAGAAGCCAGAACAGCAAGAGGGATCGCTGAGCAGTGAAAGCAGCAATCCCTCTTGCTGTTCTGGCTTCTGGGATAGCTGCACAGCCTGCATTCGCTCCATAAGACGCACACACATTTCCCCTTACTTTTTAGGAAGGAAAAAGTGAGTCTTATAGAGCAAAAAATACGGTGTGTATTATTCCGAAGGAGTCTGCCACGCTTTGATTAGACCTTCATCCCAAAGGCTAACTCCAACCTCCACAGGTCTCAAGCGGTGGTCCTCCCTTCCTTCTGCTCAAAGCCCAAGTCCGCTAGGGAGAAGGAATGATACTCTGTAGATGTGTGAAGGCCCATCAGGATCTACTTCAGGTGCACAGTGGAGTTCCACCTATCAGAATTCATGTTTGTTTCCTTCCAGTCCAGATCCAAGGGACACAAGGCCTCCCCAGCGATATTAGCATGATGGATAAAGGCCTGCATCACCAGGAGCTGTGATGGGTTCCCGGAGGGGGACAGGCTCCTTTGGGTATCACAGCTCATTTCCACCAGGGGCGCAACAGCCTCAGCAGTATTTCGGACCCAAGCCCTCTGGGTGACATATGCAGGGCAGCCATCTGGTTCTCATGTCCCACCTTCATGAGGCATTACTAGCTAAACATTTACACTCAGCCAAGGCCTCCTTTGGAAATGAGTGCTTCAGTAGTGGTGAACACCAATTACCACAGTTACCAGTCTGGTAATGCTGAGATACAGCCCACACCAGGATCCCCCTACTAAAGAAAGTAAATGTTGTACTTGCCGTGTTAAAGATTCCTTCTCTGTAGGGAGGAAGGGGATCCAGTCTTTCCCAAGTGACCACTGTGGGGGGGAGGCCTTGGACACAAGAGCTGAAGGGTCGACCGGGGGTTTGGCCCCCCCCCCAGTGTTTCAGGGGCCTCTTCTCTCTCTCCCTCTCCCTCCACCCCAGTTTTTTCCTTTGCTTATTCTTTAGCCCATACCATTCTTCTCTTCTTCACTGGGCTGCCTTACAAGAGCAGTGGACTCGTAATCTGGTGAACCGGGTTCGATTCCCTGCTCCTCCACATGCAGCTGCTGGGGTGCCCTTGGGCTAGTCACACTTCTCTGAAGGCTCTCAGCCCCACTCACCTCACAGAGGTGTTGTTGTGGGGAAGGAAAGGAGAATGTTACCACTGTTGAGACCCTTCGGGTGTGATAAGCGGGATATCAAATCCCAAACTCCTCCTCCTCTTCTTTTTCTTGGACTGGGCCTCAGGAACGAGTGTATATCCCACTGCGGGACAGCTGAGTACCTTTCTCCTAACAAGTTGTGTTCCTTTTCCTCTGTCCTGTTAAGCTGTTTAATTTTTGGCTATACAGTTACTTGCTTAAGCACGAATTGAACTGGTGAGGGGTTTCCCTGCCCACAGGCGTGCCCTCTCAAAAGTGTGACTTCCTGCCAGTGGAGAGTGGGCAGTTGACAACCCACACGGGATCCCCTTTCTCTCACCAGAGAAGGAACTTACCATGGTAAGTGCCGACATTTGCTTTGCCACACCAGCTCTTTGTTTTGCAAATTCTCGGTACAGTCTAGTTGCATGCAGAAACCTTACTGCCCAAGGTCCTGTCGACTTTGGCAGTTATAGATTTCAGTGGCATACAATCGTTACGTAATGTTTTAATGGAAAAAGGTTTACTACAAGATAAGCCGAAGAGAGCAGAATATGAATGTGTAGTGTCCTTTAAATTCATAGGGGAGGGGACCTCTTTATAGTGCAGTATGGCAGTTAACTGTAGTGCAGTTAACTATAAAATTGCAGGATATGTGATCCTGAAACTGTAACTTTGCCACACTGGTGTGAAGGAGGAGAGCTGCCATAGCAGTACAGGCATGTGATAATGTCTGGTGCAGTGCAAGTTGTAGCATTTATGCATAAATACCACACGTTGCTAAAATGGGACGCGGGTGGCACTGTGGGTTAAACCACAGAGCCTAGGACTTGCCGATCAGAAGGTCGGCGGTTTGAATCCCCGCGACGGGGTGAGCTCCCGTTGCTCGGTCCCTGCTCCTGCCAACCTAGCAGTTCGAAAGCACGTCAAAGTGCAAGTAGATAAATAGGTACCACTCCAGTGGGAAGGTAAACGCCGTTTCCGTGCACTGCTCTGGTTCGCCAGAAGCGGCTTAGTCATGCTGGCCACATGACCCGGAAGCTGTACGCCGGCTCCCTCGGCCAATAAAGCGAGATGAGTGCCGCAACCCCAGAGTCGTCCGCGACTGGACCCAATGGTCAGGGGTCCCTTTACCTTTTTACACACGTTGCAATGTGTTCCTTAACTCTTCCTTCTGCAACTTGGTGCCCTTCAGATGTTTTGTACTGCAACTCCTATCAGCTCCATACAGCATAGTCAGCAGGTGGGGCTGGTACAGGTTGTAGTCCAGAACATCCGGAGGGCATTAGGTTGGGGAAGGGTATTTTAACTCTGCCTTGATGTAAGCAGACTGCAGTTTTAAACTGAAAGAAACTTTTAAAAAAGCACCCTGCCCCCAATTACCGATATTCTTAAAAACTTTAGGCACACGGATAATATTGCAGTGCAATTGAGTAATGATTGTATATAAAAAGAGAACATTAGGATCAGTTTTAAGTGAAGGTTAGTTTTAATACAAGCTCTTTTGCATTACAATGAACAAATGTTAAGGGAACTTCAGTACGAAGTAATTTGATCTGTTATCACCAAGTACTGTATACATTTAACCTGTGGATGACCTCAGTCCATCTAATCCCCTCCCCGGCCGATGAACAAATGCCTTTTGATTTTCTTTAAATTTTATTAAGTAGTGTGGAATAGTAACTTATTCCTGTTCAAAGAGGTCTCACTGAAAGTTGCAGATCCTCCTATTTCTGATTGTTGCTTCTCAGAAAGTACGGAAGTTACGGCACAAAATTCAAATTTAAAATGCGGATAGGTAACACTGGCTAGAAATCAGACCTTAGTCATAGTAACAGGATTTTTAATAGCATTCAATTCTGAGGTGCAAATAGATTTGTTTTTATGCAACTCAAAACTATATTATTATATTATTATATTATATTATATTATATTATATTATATTATATTATATTATATTATATTATATTATATTATATTATATTATCTAGAGGCACATCATTATTGACATAAACACCAACAAATAGAACTGCATACACCTTAATCCTAAATATATTAACTCAAAACTCCTATTGATTTCAGTGTAACATAATGTAAAGTAAGTATGTCTAAGATCACGGGTTAAATGTGGCCACATCTAAGATCCTGTCTTTTCTTTAATCTTAGAGCTGTCTGGAGTTCAGCCTAAGGATTCAGGAGTTCATTGAACTTATTCGACAGAACAAGAGACTGGATGCTGTCAGGTATGGAAATAGGATGTGCAGAATTTTGTACTGGTTATAATCCTCAATTTCTACATTCCAGTCATGAGTCTCATCCCACTAGGTCTCAGTGATGCCTATTAGACCATATTTGCTCCAAATTGTTTTCCTTGGTTCCTGTACCCTATGTGTTAATATAGATACAAGTCATTCCCTCCAGCTGCTTCCTCCTTGTAGTTTCCTGCCCTTTAGCAGGTTTCTGGAGTGCGTCATTGAAGCTATTATCCCCAATACAAAGTGTTCCCGTCGACCAACTATTGTCCTCTTTCCCCATAGGATTTAGTTTAAAGCACTCCTGATCAGGTTTGTGAGACTCTTAGCAAACATATTCTTGCCAACCACTTTGAAGTGCAACGCATCTCTTTCCAGAAATCCTTCCTTAAGGAAGCAGAGATGATGGTCCAAGAAGCTAAACTTTTCCAAACCTAAACTGGAAATATTAGACAGCTAGAAAGGCCTTTGCTGCATGATACGTTAAGACTTGCCATCATATTTTTCTGCTAGGGGCAGTGTTGGTGTTAGTAGTGTTGTAGATGGTAGGATAGTGTAAAGGGGATGAGGTAGAAATAAGTTCCATCATAGAACATGATGTCAAAGAAGGTGTCAGATACTACACTTGAACACCATTGGGCTAGTGATTAACTATCCCAAATTACTCAAACTGATGAGGATCAATATTTTTCCCTTCTCAATTGTATCTCAAGTTGCAGATTGATTTAAATACAATAAAAGTAAACTGTGGGAACCATTGAGAATTGATCCAGTCTCTATCATCACTGTTCCCTCTTTGCCATTTGTTGGTGTTATATAACCCTTGGAACTTTGATATGAATGTGTAGAGTTCAGTTTGCATGATTGAATAGGCACAATACAGTAGACAATTAGGAGGAGCCATTAGAATATGTGACTTCTTCTAGCTGCAAGCCAGCAGGTAGAATGAATTTGCTCAGATAACCTTAGCTAAACACCTATCAGGCCTTGTATTGAGGGAGTCCTGCTTTTTGGAGTTAGATAAACGACTCACTGTGTATTAGTGTAACTCGGTATTCTTAGTTTTTTTTTCTTTAGACCATTTTAGAGCTGCTGTATAGCACCATTACTGTTTTGTCAAACTGACATGTTGTGTCTCTAAACTAATGCCTTAAAATACAGGCAACTCAGGGATAGTGTGTAAAAACCAAATCACTTTTTGTTCAATTGCAGTTGGGATTGCCAAAGTCTGTCTTCCCAGACACCCACCCTCTTTCTGCCCTCTTTTAATTTTTTTAAAAAATGACAATAAAGTTGAATGTGTGCAAGTTAAATGTGCCTATGTTGTGAGCTCCCTGTATCTGTATTCAGCAATTTTTTGTTTTTCTTACTCAACACAGTCTTATCCCAGGCCAAGGGGTGCAGAAAGGAAGAAGACTGGTGACATACTAGCTGTGTTGGTCAGAATCAAAAGCAGACGTTGTGAGATGATTGCATTGAACGGACCAGCTGATGTTCCAAATGCCAGAACTCTTCTTCTGGCACTTGGTTGTTGCCACAACAGCAATTCTTGCTGTTCTGCAACAGCAGACTTGACAACATGTTGGTTCTCATCAGCCCTAACACTGCTACATGAAAATCAAAAGTGTTTCCACACCATTCTTGCTGTGGTGGTGACATTGTAGATGAGGGGTGCACACACCCCTCAGTCTCTTGACAATGTTTAGCACTATATTTGAATCAGACACTCCCCAGGACTTGCAACAAAAATTGTGTTTTGATGGATGATCATGGCTCATTGGATTCTCTTCTGGAATAAACTTTGTGGCTCAGAAATGTAGTACTTTCATAGATAAGTGAGAAAACTTCCTGGGGTTGTAAGATTTGCTTCGAAAAATGTTTCTCTTTGCAGGTAAGGGTTGGTACTTCTTAAAAAGAACATAAAGCAACTGTTGAGATGCTAAGGATGCAAGCAGAGTAATTTTGCGTTCTGAATTTCAGACATGCAAGGAAGCATTTCAGCCAGGCTGAAGGAAATCAACTGGACGAGGTACGACAGGTGATGGGAATGTTGGCCTTCCCTTCAGATACTCATATCTCTCCTTACAAGGTATGTGTCAATTTAATGAAGCTAAAAAGATGGACAGAGGATTTTTTCCCTTTTTTTTTGCAGTGTACTGATGCGCCAATGCTTACTGACTCTAAATTGATGCCCATTATTAAGTATTGAGGATTTCAAACATGCATTTAACCTGCTTGTTGCTATTGGCAAAATGTTCTGTTAATCTGCTTCTCGATATTGACATCTGGGAACGGTTGTGATTCCCCGCTGGCCTATTTGAAAGTATTAAAACTGAGATGCACAAAAAAATTCCAGGTTCAACTGGTTGCAGTACATAATTACATTCCCAGTACTTTGAAACTATTGAAATATCACAGTCTGCCTTTTGCATTTTTGTGTCTCTGTGTTCCCCTCACAGGATCTTCTGGACCCTGCCCGGTGGAGGATGCTAATCCAGCAGTTTAGATATGATAACTACAGGCTGCATCAGCTGGGGAACAACTCTGTCTTTACTATAACACTCCAGGCCGGGCTTTCAGCTATAAAAACACCGTATCCTTCAGTGCATCACAGTCAATTAAAAATTCAGTTTTTTCTTGAGCTGCGTTTGGCCAATTTATGTCCAAATTTTAGACATATGTTTATGCCTTGAATACTTTAAAAAACAACAACAGGGCAGCCATCTTTCATAGTTTGTGTTCTCCAAAATGCAGATTGCATGACACACAGGCTCTTAATCTTGATATAATTTGGGATTTTATTTAAATTTTTTGTAATATCAGAATTCAGAAAAGACTCGTGCATTTTTTACGCGCTTGGTAAAAAAACTTGAGCAAGCCTGAGCCATCAGGTGTCTTGGCCGCTGTTTTAGTGAGCTGAAAATTTAACAGGTTTAGGAGGCTCAGAAGTATACAAAAATAAGACTGGTTGTCCTTGAAATCAGCATCTGCACCTGCAGATCCACTTTCTTCATATAAGCCTAAAAGCTGTCTTCAGTAACAAATGAGTTCTCTGTTCGGTGTTTATTATTCAAATATTTATCTATTATCCTTTAACTCACTTTTAAATAGACAATGTTATAAAGAGGATGGCAGTTCCAAAAACCCTGACTGCCCTGTTTGTAGCAAATCCCTAAATAAGCTGGCTCAGCCTCTGCCAATGGCACATTGTGCCAACTCCCGACTAGTCTGCAAGATTTCAGGAGATGTGATGAATGAAAATAATCCTCCCATGATGCTTCCAAATGGATATGTGTATGGATACAATGTAAGTGTTTTTCCATAAATGTTTCAAACTATTGTGATATACTGTATGTGGCTTCCTAAAACAGATAATGGCGTTAAATTTGTTTGGAAATAATAATAATAACAATAACAACAACAACAACATCTATAATGGAACCTTTTAGAAATATTCCCAGGCTTTTTAATATTTATATTTTATTGCTTTTTAGATTCTTACGCTAATGTTAACTTGTTGCAAATTTTTACATGGGTTTTATGCATTTCCTAGTTTTATTCTGTGTTAGCGTATCTCTAACTTGGTTTAAACCTTTAAACCACTCGAATAAACTTTATTAGGCAATATATAAATATTGTATATAATAATAAAAAAATCAGTCAAAATAGGATTACAAAAAGGCTGAACAGACATTGGCTAGTGTGTGTGTATATAGCAGTGTGGAGTCTTGGATTGTGTATAGCTGTTGCCAGCTCTTAAAACTTTGCAGTTAAGATAACAGAAACTGAAGAATGGATAAACACTTTATTTCACTCTGGGACTATCATAATTAATCTCTCTTCTTTTTGTTTCAGTCTTTGCTTTCTGTTCGTCAAGATGATAAAGTAGTTTGCCCAAGAACCAAAGAAGTCTTCAACTTCTCACAAGCTGAGAAGGTCTACATTATGTAATTCCCTCGTACATACAATGAAGTGCCGCTGGAATTTGACATAATATATTTTGGCATGACTTGTAGAGAGAGATCTTGAGTGTGGCTAAGAGAGCTGGGGTGGGAATCAGATTGGTTGGTGGCATTTTTTATTGCGACCAAAGATCAATGAACAACAATATACACTCTTAGAAACTGAGGAAGTGTGACTAAAAGGTTGTACTTGGAGGGAACAAATATTGAATGTTTGGATTTTGTTACAGTAATTGGACTTTTCTCAAATAATCATCCAGCAAAAACTCAGCTCAAAAAATGGACAGTTTCACATGAGAAAAAAAAGTTACAGTGAACCTCAAAGGGCCATTTCACACTTCCAGACCTGTTTTCAACATCACCAATATGTGCCCATGTGTGGAAGAACTTGAAGGGGCCAAATATGCAAAACTGTGATACATGCACCAGGGAACTGGGGCCAGTCACGGCCTCTGAATGTGTGTCGACCTTGCGGCCTCAAGTGTGTGCATGCACACACGTGCATCTCCCCTTCAAATGTGGTTGTCAGCATGAGACACATAAACTGGAAATAGATTTGCAATGTCAAAAGTGTGATGTAGGTCTGTGTGCTTCCCTTTTCTGTGTTAGCAATTGGCTAAGACCCTTTTGTTTGAAATCCTCTTCCATTCTGCCTTTGAAATGATCCCATGGGCCATAGTAGATGCTTGACGACAACACTAACACAAGGCTGATTTAACTGGATCAGTTAGGAGTTTTTTGAAAAGTACTGCAAGGGTTTATTCTCTTCCAAAAACCCTCCACACATTGACCATCTTGGGAAGACTGCATAAATACGAAGTAACTGAAAACATTACAGGCACAATGCACTGCTTGTATGTCTGTCCTTCTTCCAGTTGACCATAGTGTTAAAATTCTTCATTTATTAGTTACTATGTGCATAGGATTCAATATCAAACCATTAGTGCTACTGCCTTATTTCTTACTTTGAGAATGTACTCACATAAAGATCAGCTGGTAACCTTAAGTGTTGGGCAAATTTTGAAGATGCCTTGCAGGATTAATTATGTAATTTTAGGGTATTCATTACACAAGAGATTAGTTCAGTTTTAACAGCTGCAAATCACATCCTTATCACTCTCCAAATAAAACCATTGTAGTTGGAAAAAACCATATGGTAGAAGTTTGTATTTAGCATTTATTTTTGCATGTTGATGTTGATTAGCTAATAAAGACTGTAAACACAAACCCTTTTATAATCATTGTTTCTTTTCCTTAGTTGACAGTGGAATGTTAATTTGTTCTTGAAACTAAGAATTGGTGCGGGGAGTTAACCTTCACTACTAAAATGGTCACATTACAGATATTTTACCTAATACTGGTGACAACTCAGTATTTTCTGGATACTTGTCTGATTATTGGATTATACAGATACTGTATTTCTGAAAACTGAACAGCTATCAATAAGTAAAGGGACAGATGTTGTGCTCATCTCTTCTAAGCACTTGATCCCGTACACCTTCAAAATTCTGGGAAGGGTGAGGAATTGGCTAGGAGATACATTTAGATGTGGAATTGGGATACTCACATGATCACAAAATTAAATACAGAATCTCTGTTTCTAAGTGAAAGACTAATGTAGGGAGACTTGATTTTCTAATTATCACAGACAAGCAGTGAATTAAACAAATAGAACACACTTGATGCAGCTTTGATTTTTAGCTTTAATATTTGGCTGCAACTTGTGATTTGTCTCAAGTCAGACAAGCCACAAGCCCAGATCTGAATGTAACCCTAAGCCAGAAAACACTCATGAAGAATGGCTGAGTTAAACAGTTTTGAAATTTATTGCATTCAAAGGTCCAAATCTTGTGTTTACAAATGCTGGTCACCCAAAACTTAGCTGAAATCTTTCTTTTTGGCAGTTCAGATGGTTGAAGTCACAGGTATTGCAAAGCTATGCATTTGGCTGTTTTGGAGAAAATTCATTATTTCAACACTTTTAAAGTTCCCATTTTAAACCTGTTAATTAAAAACAAGGAGCTCAACTGGTGTTTGTTTGGCAGTGAAGCATCTCTGATAAACACTGTTTCCCCACAGGGGGAAACAACATTTGCTGCTGGAGGGAATAGACTTTAGCAATGTAATATTTTACAGAATGAGAAGGGGCACTGCTCCCAGTACATCTGCCTGTGAAAGGGGGCGAAATTCCACAATTTCACTTCTCTTGCAGCCTGGCTTCACTCAATTGCTCTGCATCTCTTGAGATTTATCTGTTATAACAAATCGCAAATCGAGAGATAACAGTTGGCTACATTCTTGTTTTTAAAACACCCAGCTTTGCAGGCACACCCCTCTGAGTGAAGGACTTAACAGGGCTTCTGAACAAACCCGTGAAGATTATAGGCCATTTTTAATCACCATTATTTCTGTCATAAGCTTGCAAGACCATGTACAAAGTACTTTCAGGTGAGGGAACCTATTGCCCTCCAGTTGTTCCTGGATTAGAGCTCTCATTATCCCTGATGTCTAAAAATATCTGGAGGGCTGCCTATGGCATAGCTGTCAACTTTTCCCTTTTCTTGCGAGGAATCCTATTTGGAATAAGGGAATTTCCCTTTTAAAAAGGGAAACGTTGACAGCTATGATCTATGGGCTCCCTAATTCTGCCTTCAGAAGTTTTTTCTATTTTTTAAAGAATTAAAGCATTTTAGTGAAGGCACATTGTGTTCCTTGGCCTGAAGGGTCAGGAATTTTAGATTAATCGTGCACCAAGAACATAAGGAGAAACTGCAAGTTAAAGGTCTGCTGTTAACCTCAGTGCCACGTAAGTATAAAACATGTATCTTAGTGTATTATAGCAGCTATTTCTTAGAATAGTTGGTGCTATTCAGTTCCACTGCATGCATTTGGGGTAGGTGAAACTGGGAGACAGGAGCCATTTGCCATCTTTAATACTGGTGCAGCACAGGGAGGTTTTTGTGTGTCACCAGAGTAAGACTGAATGACGTAAAAGTTCAAGTTTTTTCTTACGAGTTTGGAATTGCAGCATGATTAAGGAGACAATACTCATTCACTGACATGTTGAAATTTCCCCCAGCAGTTATGCTGCAAGACATCTGTGGTTACTTTGGAACCTGAGATGCTTGTTGGGGATAAAACAGGCTGGGTGGCATAGTGTTGTAGTTGAAAATAAGCAATGAATAGACGGTTCAAGATTGCTCTTCTTTGCTTCAAATTGTGTCCACTCAGTGCCAATTTGCAGTGGGAAAAAAGTGGGTGAAGATTTGTGAACTCTGCTTTATATTCCACTGAAATCCAGGTGAGCATCGTTTAAAGGGGAAGCAGCACTGGCCTTTGATACACACCGAAATACAAATAATTTAGCAGCCCCTTCCTGCTCAAAATCGATATGCTCCTCACCGTACACTGCTGAAATGTACCCTTTAAGTTTATTTAAATCTATATTCCACCCTTCCTCCTAAAGGAGCACAGGGTGCCTTTTCAAAATCTGTGCAACAGGATGATTATTTTCAAAACTTGCTTTGACGTTTTTCAATACTGGGACCATCATCGATCACAATGGGCTAGGAATCGTGTCTACAAGCCCCACATCCCACTCAATTTTTTTTTATTACAGTAGTTTTCACAATATTATAAACAAACAAAAACACACAAGACAAACAAACAAAAATCATAGCCTTATTGAAAATTACAGTTATTAACTTTGTTAAGTGACTTCCTCGCTTCCCCTTGGTTGAATTTCATTGCATGTCCTTTTAACGGTTTTCCAAATCCCAATTTTTATAAAATTTAACTTAAACATTAACATCCTTAGATCTTCACCTTATGGAATTAAACATATTAATTCATCACTTAACATAAATAAAATCCTAATCCCATTAAGTATCTGCAAGCTGTTTTCAGTTAGTTTAACTCAGCAACTTTAACTAAATAATCATATTTATTCCACTCTTCCTGATGATACTCCTCCTTCTGGTCACAGACTCTTCCGGTCAGGTCGGCTAGCTCCGAAAAATCCATCATCTTCATCTGCCATTCTTCTATTGTTGGTAATTCTTGGGTTTTCCACTTTTCAGCTAACAAAATACGAGCAGCAGTTGTGGCATACAAAAATAATTTAACATCTTTCTTGGGCAATTCCAAACCTGTTATTCCAAGAAGAAAGGCCTCTGGTTTCTACAAGCCCCACATCCCAAGTCATTAGCAGTCCCCACTCCATCAGAGGAAACACTGTTTAGTGAAGACTTTCTCGATGTTGATGCTCTCCAGAAATGTTGGATAACAACTCCCATCATCCCCAGCTGGCATGGGAGCCACAGTCTTAACACAATGGAGAACATCAGGGACAAGAATGTCTGGTTTAACTATCCTGCAAACAAGCATGAGACAACACAAGAGGATTTCTCTAGCGATGCAATAAGGCAATATAGGGCCAGTACAACATGAGGTTTCACTGCTGGTCCAGGCACCCCATTTCTCCCCATTGGGATTTGGGCCTGAAGGACTGAGGGAAAGTGTGGGAGCAGCATGGAGAGTATGTTGAGAGCAAGCACGATTTATGACATTGCGCAACATAGTTTATACCGTCCAACATTTCCTTGATGAATATAGATGTTCCCTCCAACATTTCTCCAATGAAAATAGGGACATCCTACCATACCCTCCAAACGTCCTCTGATGGAAATAGGGACGTCCTAAGGAAAAGCGGGGCATTCCTGGATCAAATCAGAAACCGGGATGGATTCTGCAAATCTGGGACTGCCCCTGTTAAATAGGGACGCTTGGAAGGCCTGCATCATTCTTGATTGTGGGGCACCAGCCTTAGCAACAGAATTATGGATTGTGGGGCACCAGCCTTAGCAACAGAATTATGGATTGTGGGGCACCAGCCTTAGCAACAGAATTATGGATTGTGGGGCACCAGCCTTAGCAACAGAATTATGGATTGTGGGGCACCAGCCTTAGCAACAGAATTATTGATTGTGGGGCACCAGCCTTAGCAATAGAATTATGGATTGTGGGGCACCAGCCTTAGCAACAGAATTATTGATTGTGGGGCACCAGCCTTAGCAACAGAATTATTGATTGGGGGGCACCAGCCTTAGCAACAGAATTATGGATTGTGGGGCACCAGCCTTAGCAACAGAATTATGGATTGTGGGGCACCAGCCTTAGCAACAGAATTATTGATTGTGGGGCACCAGCCTTAGCAATAGAATTATGGATTGTGGGGCACCAGCCTTAGCAACAGAATTATTGATTGGGGGGCACCAGCCTTAGCAACAGAATTATGGATTGTGGGGCACCAGCCTTAGCAACAGAATTATGGATTGTGGGGCACCAGCCTTAGCAACAGAATTATGGATTGTGGGGCACCAGCCTTAGCAACAGAATTATGGATTGGGGGGCACCAGCCTTAGCAACAGAATTATGGATTGTGGGGCACCAGCCTTAGCAACAGAATTATGGATTGTGGGGCACCAGCCTTAGCAACAGAATTATTGATTGGGGGGCACCAGCCTTAGCAACAGAATTATGGATTGTGGGGCACCAGCCTTAGCAATATAATTATTGATTAGGGGGGCACCAGCCTTAGCAACAGAATTACTGATTGGGGGGCACCAGCCTTAGCAACAGAATTACTGATTGGGGGGCACCAGCCTTAGCAACAGAATTATTGATTAGGGGGGCACCAGCCTTAGCAACAGAATTATTGATTGGGGGGGCATCAGCCTTAGCAACAGAATTGATTGGGGGGCATCAGCCTTAGCAATATAATTATTGATTAGGGGGGCACCAGCCTTAGCAACAGAATTATGGATTGTGGGGCATCAGCCTTAGCAACAGAATTATGGATTGTGGGGCACCAGCCTTAGCAATAGAATTATGGATTGTGGGGCACCAGCCTTAGCTTCCAACTTCCTGAAATTGGAATTTCTGCAGCAAGGGCAGCCCAAACAGAACGTGCTGCTGTAATCCAGCCTCCAGCTTGTCGATAAAGGGACACGACCATCTCCGCCCGGCAACAGCCGCAGCCGGCGAGCCGTGCGAAGCTGAAGTGAAGCCGGCCAACCTGCCCGTCCTTCCCGGCGCTCGCCCTCCAGCAGCTCCCAGAAGCCCGGCTGCTCTGAGGCCGCCGCAGCTCGACCGGAGGCGGGGGAAGCCCTTCCCTTCTCCTCCCCGCCTTCCTCTCGCGGAATCCGCCCCAGCAGCCTGACGAGCCG